AATTTGTGAAGTTTGAGTTGTTCTTGAGCGTATATAGTTTACTCAACATCTACTCTTAAAGAGAGTCTTGTTCTTGAGTGTTCTTAGTGTTGTAAACACGTTTAGGGAAGCTTGTTTCCCTTGGTTGTACGAAGGAAAGGTATTTTCCTTCGGGTTGAAGTCTTGGAGTGCGGTATCTCCGAGCAAGTGTATTGAGGCTCGTGGGACTCGAGTTCTCAGGTTGTAACGGTTTGTTAAGCACCCGTAAGCTTAACGGAAGTAGTGTAGCTCGAGAGAGTCTCTCGGGAGGCTGGATTAGCCACAAGTTGTGGTGAACCAGGGTAAATCTTGGTGTTCTCCCTTTACTCCTTTTTATTCTGCTCTTTACTTTATCCCTGCGATTTTTATTCCGCGAAAATTTATAAACATTCTCGTGCCTCACTATTCACCCCCCCTCTAGTGAAGGGCATTCTAACATGTTTCGCCCAGATGATGCCAAGTAATAAGCCCAAGGCTTCTCCTTCCAGAATTGTTGGTGCGCTTAGTTTCCATGTGCTTGCTGCAATAAAAGTTCCTCGATCGCTGCGAAGAATTGAGCCGCTAATCTTTCTACTGTTGAGGAAGGAGATGTCTGTTGAGAGATGAAGGTAGCCTTCCAGTGGTGCTATCCATCTGTGGATTCTGGGGTATCAAGAAGGTGGTTGAATGAGCAGAATTTCTTGTGGGAGCCTCCAGGATGCGTACTTCTGTAATTTTTTGGGAGCTCTGCTTAGAATCCTGGTTTGAAGTTGTCCAACACACACCCCTATTATCTTCCTGTTGCTCCAAATTGAGTTGTTGTGAATACTTCTATTTCTTTCTTTGCAGATATTGAATAGAATTATGCCGGGAATGATGCCCTTTAGCCAGTCGAAGAGATTATTTGTTTTGAAGTTCGTCCACCAAAGTTGAAGGTATGCATTAGTTCCATGGGTGGGTTGCCATGGTATTTTGAAAATCCATTAAAAATATTTCCAAATATCTCTCGAGTAAGGGCACTGGATTAGTGTGTGGTATGCTGAGTCCTCGTTGTTGTAGCAAAGCTGACAGATTGAGGGAAGGGAGTTTCTACCAAATTTGGTGAGGGTGGGAGGGAATGGGAGAAGGTTGAGGTATAGCCTCCATTGAAAGAAGGCCACTTTAGGGATTTGCTTTGAGCTCCAAGTGATCTGTAATGGTAAGATTATTTCCCCTTCCTCTTGTTGCTGAATAATATTGAAAGCTTCCTTGAAGCTTAGGTCTTGGATAGGTTGAGTAGTCCACTGCAAGTATTCCTCTGTATCTGCAAAAAGTGGTTAGTAGCAATAGGATGTATAGAACAGATTCTTTTCCATATTGTGGAATCAATGATTTGGGGGTGGAAATTGTTCTCTCTAGGATATCTAGCTCTCATGAATTTACTCCACAGAGTGTCATTGGCATGAAATGTCCACCAAAGTTTGAGGCTGTAGGCCTCCTGCATATTGCTCAGGGACCTGACCCCTAGACCCCCGTTATCTTCTGAAACACATATTTTGTCCCAGGAAGCCTAGTGATAGTTGTCACTGGTTTTGTTGTCTCCCCATAGGAAAGCACACATTTTTTTTGTTGAGAAGGTTCAGGACAGATTTAGGGATTTTGTTGATGGCTATAGTGTGTAGGGGGATTGAGTTAAGAACATGTTTGATGAGGATAAGCCTTCCACTATGAGAGAGTTGTCTTCTGTACCACCCCTTAAGCTTTTTGTCAAAGTGTTCCATGAGGTCCTTACAGTAAGGGCTCCTGTTAATCCCTCTGAATATTTGAACCCCTAGGTACTTGAAAGGTAGTTGGCCCTTATGCATGCCAAGAATGTTTGAGTGCCTGGTTATTTTGATGGGAGGAGTTTTGGGAGGGGGGTAGAAGCTACTTTTGTCCAGATTGATCCTTTGCCCTGAAGTTTCCTCATATGAGTTTAGAAATTTCCTAAACTTGTGTAGGTTAGAGGAGGCTCCATTAAGGAAAATGATGAGATCATCAGCAAAAGCTAGGTGGGAGATAGGAAGAAAGTGTCTGCCCATTCTGAAATGCTGGATGTAGTTACTGTCCATGAGGGTTTTTAGTGCTCTAGTGAAGCCTTCAGAGGCTATGATGAAGAGTAGAGGGGATAATGGGTCACCTTGTTTGAGTCCTCTGGTGGGGGAGAAGGGTTTAGTGGATTTGCCATTAAAGTTGATTGCAATTCTGGTGTTGGAGACAATATTGTTGATGAGCATAATGAACCTGGGACTGAATCCAAAAGCCTCCAAAATATCCTTTAGGTATTTCCAAGAGACTCTATCAAAGGCCTTAGACATGTCAAGTTTAATTGCTAGATTGCCTCCTCTACATTTGGTTGACAGTCCATGAAACATTTCTTGAGTAATCAGAATCTGATCTTGGATCATCCTGCCCTTAACAAAGCCCCCTTGTTCAGGGCTAATGATTTTGGGAAGGATAGTGGAGAGTCTGTAGACCAGGATCTTGGAGAAGGTTTTGCTGACGAAGTTGGAGAGACAGATGGGTATATATATATATATATATATATATATATATATATATATATATATATATATATATATATATATATATATATATAATAAAACGATGAAAATGAGGAGAGAGGAGAGAGGTCGGATTTCTCTGGTTTTCCGGTAAATACTCCAGCCAGTTCTCACTATAACACGAAAAATCTCAAACTCCCTCATAATCATTCATCATATTCTTCATCAACAGGTAAACAGAAACTATTCTCTGAACTTTTCAAAGATGGAAACAATCACTTGGGAAACGTGGAAGGAATGTTTAAAAATATGCCATCTGCTGCATTTACTTTGGAAGAAGAAAGACAACTCTGTGAGAATCTTCAATATGCACTGGTAGGCAGAGCTAGCAGGCACCTCAACTTGCTGACAATCAAAGAGTTCCTTGTTGGCATAGGATTCAAAGGAGGATTCAAACATCGCAGACTTTCCAACAATGATATCCTGTTCCTCAAAAGACTGTCCAATTATTCCTATTTGGGTCACATTCAAAAACATACCTACCCATCTTATTAATTCCAAGGCACTATTTACCGTAGCTAGCACCTTGGGGAAACCATGTATCATGGACTCTAGAACAGCCCATCTGATTCGCACTAAAGAAGCTAGGTGCTGCATTGAGATGGACATTTCTAGGCCTCTTCCTCCACAGGTTCACATTAGAATCGGCCCTAGAGATCTCATCCTACATTGCTCATTTGAGAATGTCCCAGGATTCTGCAATAAGTGTTGTAAACTCGGACCCTCTCAGTTCAAGTGCAGATCACATGGCCACTATCCAGATGATCCAAGCAACAAGGGTAAATCAGTTTATCCTATACCCAAGGATACCTCACTATGGACTGAAGTTAGAAGTAAATCTGGGAAGGTTAATAGTAAAAAGAAATTAAGCCAAGATAGGGACCCTACTGGTTGGAAGCAGGGATTTGGGGTGAATGATGGCTGGATATTAGAATCCAATTCTAAGGAGTGACAGGCTACACATTCACCTCACCTATACATTAAACGTAAGGATGCAAGGATGCAGGCTGGTCATTGGAGAACCCCAAGAGGGGCCAGGCTACTCATCCTAGTGCTAAGGATGCAGGCTGGACATTGGGTAAATCCAAGAGGTACCAGGCAAGTCATCCTAATAGTTTTCATGTATGGGTACCAGTGAAACATTCAGGGACTTCTTTCCAAACAACTTTTGCAGTCAAGGGGGCCACAGAATTCCTTCCAACCACACTACAGGACATTTTAACCCTCTCAGTGGAAACCCTGCACCTCAACCATGTGACTCACCTCTACACACCCCTATTATAGATTCAGCTAACTTTCACAGCCATTTACCTCATGAATGTGACCAGAATCGAAAGTGGGGCCTAAATTCCCTATTCAATGTACAGGAACACTTTCCTTCCTTCTCAGCTGCTAACTCATTTGCTTCAAAAATATTCCTGAAAACAGCAAGTAAGGAAACAATTAACAATCACATTCAAGGGAAGATTCAAAGTTTATCAGATACTATCCACAAAACAAAAATACGGGACATGGGCTCAGAGGATGACTTATATCTGATAGATCCTCAAGAAGGGATTGCAGATGGAATGGGTACAGGTAGTGAAGGAGATGATGAACTCCCTGAGGCTGTTTGTCAATCTGAAGGGAAAAAGGAACCAACTTTTTGGATCAACTCAGAACTCCAACCCTTTGAAATACCTTTCCCTAAAGAAAACTCTCCCTCCCTTGCCATCCCTAAATCTCACAAGAAGGGAAAACTACCATCACCCAGGACTATCATGACCAGAAGTACAACAAGGGCTACTGAAGGACACTCCAAAAAATTATTATGAATTGTTTATTTTGGAATGTTTGTGGAGCAGCCTCTTCTCTAAATAGGCTGAAATCTCTAGTAAATTTATATAAAGTTGATTATTTCTGCTCCATTGAACCTATTGTTAACAGGAAAAAAAGGGAATGGTATTCACTCAACCTTGGTTTCAACTTTTCCAAAGATGGGCTTTACAACAAAATATGGATTTTCTGGAAATCAAGCTCACTTTCCCTACAGGATTTTAATAAAGATAACCAATGCTTGAGCTGTGAATTCTGGAGCTCCAATATCAAATCAAAATTCAGCATCACAGCAGTTTATGGTGGCCACAGTACATCACATAGAAGAAAACTCTGGGAGGATCTTATTAAATTAAGCTCTGTTGACCATCATTGGGTGGTGGGGGTGACTTCAACACAATCCTACATTTCAATGAGCACAAAGGGAGTTCTGACCCTAACTCAAAAGACCTGGAAGAATTTGGAGATTGCATTCAGAATTGTGGACCTTAGTAAAACTACTTCGGTTCACAAACCAATTCTCCTAAGGTTCTTAACAGATAGGTTTAGTGGACCTAAACCCTTCAGATTTTTCAATGTTTGGACCTCACATCACAATTTCATTCCTACAGATGAAGGTACTGGTTATATAACAGCATTGAGAAGCTCGAGCCTAAATATTCGTCTTAGATTGTATTTCAATTGTTTGGAGCTTCAAATTATATAGATCTAAGAGGTAAAATTATTTCATAATTTAAAATAAAATAATATAATAGATATAGTACATTTTTCTAGATCTAGAATTTCTCTGCAATTGGGTCCAGTTGTCGTTTGGGAAAGTCACCTACCATCAATTCAATGTTTGAATTTGTTTGAATAGCAGATTGCCTCGATTCAGTGTTTCTTTTGAAGTACGATTCAGTTTTTAATTCATTTTGAATTGTCGAACAAAGCTTCAGGTCTGCTGGGAAAGTGATTTTGGAAAGTAGTCGAACAAAGTTTTAGATCTAAGAAAGTAATGGCAAGATTTAAGGGAATAGTGAAGGGGCATTTTGGAGAAGTCGATACACTTTTTATATTACATTAAAACCCGTGCCAAGTCAAAACGAGAAGTTTCAACTTGGACGGAGGGGGTATTAATGTAAATGAATTTAAAATTCTTAATTTTTAAGTTTAAATGTTTAATTTTAGACTCAACAATTATTGTGAAACTTCTTACTGATAATATCTTTTATATTTAGATTACAAACTAAAATCAGAAGTCATTATGTTCTTCCTTAATTACCATATTGAGTGTTTTATATTATAGAAAATTCATATGACAGTGCATTTTTTGTATACTATGATGTTTTTTAAATGGAGTAGACTACTAAAACAATAATTTCTTGGCCTACTGGCTTATTTAGTTGGTCATGCAGCGGGTGTTGGAAATGGACAATTGCAAGGATGTCATTGAACAATTGAAACCATGGAAATAGTAAAGGTTTGTAAGTTAATTGGTTGGTGTCTTGCTTACGTCGAAATTCCTTTTACTATTTTGAAATCTTTAATTGGTTGGCAGTCATACACCAATAAAGAAATTCTGAAAGACTTTCATACATTTCTAACCTTATGTGTACAACAAACATGTATTACATAATGGCTCCACTGGATTCTTCTTTGTAGCAGTTGACTCATGTCATAATTTCCTTACTGCATACCTTTGCAGTGGTTTGGATAGAGCAAGCATTAGCTGCAGTCAGAAGCAAACAAAAGTCAGAGGGAAATTTTCATATAACAAAAGGACCAGTTTTCTTAGACATAAATGATTTAGCGAAACTGGAACGAAATGAACATAGAACTTTATTTCAGCGCTTTTCTTCAAAGCCTCCAAGATGTAAAATAGCAAAGGAAAAATAATACAACCTCTGGTGACGCATCAACAGTATCGTTTTACATTAGCAATTAGCAGCGGGTTAGACTTGGGAACCTTATTTCCTCTTCAGGGCTTCCTAAAACTTTTCAGATTCTTAGGGTATATTAATCAGGTACGATGCGCAGCTAAAGGAATCTCTTTTCATATTAATTTTGTGATAACGAGAAGATAAATACTTCAACCTGCACCATAAAAAGAGCTCAAGATGAATGTCCTGTAAGCTCTGCCATTTTGACCATTGATGTGAAGCTATTGTGTTGTTGAGCAGGTGGACTTTGAAAAAGAAATAGCAGTAGATGATCTCTCTCATATATAGAGAAGATTATAATGTCCGTGTAATGTCTAGGAAAAAAAATAGTATTGATGTCAGCTTTCAGAGTGATATGTATGAAATCTTATATTCTTATATTTTCTTAAACTACTTCAAAACCATTACATCAAATAATACAAATAGGCGATTAATAGATTCGTTACAGACCTGTAATGTGGTAGGACTGAGAAGTAGACACCTGTGAGTAACAGTCACCCTTTTACCCAAAATTATTGGGTGTCGCCCACTCTCTAAAAGGGATGTTATATCCCAGCCTTGATTCATTACGAAATCTTCCCAAAGAGTCAACACAACTGGTTTCATTCTTTTTAAGATGAAAGTAAAAATGTTAGATATACACAATGTTAAGTAATTAGAATAACTATGTCATACTTACTCTTCGTTCACAAGCATGAAATCATGTGCAGTTTTTGCATGTCTAGTAACGGAGACATACTCTCTGGGACATACTCTCTGAATCACAATGGCCATGAAATCTAAATGTAGCAAACATAAAAAAAAGTTTAGATGTCACATCATTGTGGTTTTCCATATTATATTAATGAAGATTAATATTATTCACAAACTGAATGGGGTTTTAGACCCGCATAAGTCATAGAAGTCAATGAATGGTGTGAGGATAGTGTCTGTCTCATTTGTCTCATTTGTTGCCTATATTTGTTCTAATTTTAGGGCTGTTTCAATCCAAGTCTTTTTACTCAACATCCAAATGTAATTATAGTTTGCGGATGGGGGAACACCACTATACTTGGTTAGGCATGACAGCAACAGTGCTTGTGTAGTACGTGTTTTTGAGGTCGAGTATCTTATCAATTTGTTCAATGTCACCACTATTTGCGAGAGCAAGAACCTTCGTACCCTATACGGAAATGGTTGAACGGAACATAATTAATGCAAGTAATATGTACGCTTTAAGATTGATTATTTTATAAGCTTTATAAACTTACCACCTCACCCTGCAATATAAAAGGTCTGTACTTGTTAGGGCTCGTCCTTGAGTCTTTGACGTTCCGTTTCTCCACAACTCTAACCTTACATGTCCATTCCTTTTTGTTGTCATTTATTCCACTAATAAAAAAAGTTTTATAAAATTTGAATAACCTTTTAGATTATTATCACATGATATGAATTCATACTTTTTAAAACAAAAAACTATAAAATATTCAATAATATTACTTGAAAAAAGAAAAAGGTTCTTACTTGTAAATGGATTTTACACTTACAAATAGGTTTCGTAAAATGTTAAAAATAAGACATAATTGAATAGCATGTTACAACGTACCATTGAATACGAACACTGGCAGTGGTAGGTTGTGGGTTGGGTTTCGATTTTTTTTTTGTTTGGGACTGGTGTTTGGGGTTGGTTTTAGGATAGACTCTAGGTTGGATTTTGATTTTTGGGTTTAGAGTTTAGGCATGTTTTTGGGTCAGGGTTTTGTGTTTGGGCTCTGTGTGTGGTGATTGGAACACTTTACCATTGTGTTTTGATTTTGGCTTTTGTGATTGGGACTGGTTTTTGGGGTTTGATTTTGGGGCTGGTTTTTCGGTTGTGTTTTGACTTTAGGATTAAGAGTTTGGGTCTATCTTTGGGATGGGGTTTGGTATCTAGGTTGTCGGGTCACTAAAATTAATAATTCTTTTTTGGCTTTGGCTTTTGCATTTAGGACTGGGTTTTGGTGCTGGTTTTTGGGGCTCGTTTGTTGGGTTTTGATTTTTGGGTTTAGACTTTGAGTTTGTTTTCGTGTCGGGT